GGTTGTGAAACAGACTAAATATATTTGTCTCAATAATACAGGGGAAGCTATAACATTCTCACAGTAGGGATCTTAATACACTGAAAGAGCTTACATTTCGAATTCTAACATAAATCTTGCCTACAATGAAAGGAATGTGACCAGGACTAATATTTTAAGTGCTGTAAAGTAATTTTCTTTGTAATTTATGGTGTCTGTATGTTTGGTAATTTCTTCTAACAGGATGTATCAAGTAACTAGGGTCAGGTGGTGTTATTCAAACCACCTGTTCTGTAAACTATTAGTATTACATACATTCGCTAGTAGTGGAAATTGTTTTTGTCTGTATAGTGAAACAACATACAAGGACACATAAACTTGAAATAAACTTGTTTGAAAGTTCAAAGAAATGATATCCTAGTACCAAAAAGCTTTCTCACTATCATATCTATAGTAATGTTGAAATGTGCCTGTGCTGGACTGAACAAAAGTGACCACCAACAGCCATGACAGTTCACATCAAATGTGCAAAGTTCACGCTGCTAACTTTATGATTTATTCGGCACAATAAACCAAAGTATGGCTGCAATGAAACATAAACATAAACTTGAAATAAAAATACATTTATGAAACAAAATTAAAATGTTTTTTATGTACATATATAAACATGAAATTCTAGTTAAAAATAAAAATACTCATTTAGTGTTTAGGTTTACTTAGAAATATTATTTTTGGGTCTTGTATATTACTAGAAACCATAAGGAGAGTACATGATTATTAAAAAGATTTAAAATATATAAAATTTTCATTTTATGGAAGATAAAAATTTTTGGGATTTTAAAATAATGTACTAAAACATAAAAAGTAACAAGTTCAAATCTGGAACAAATATATATATTGTAATCATTTCTTATAAATACCATTTCCTAATGTAATGTTCCAAGATATTAAAGATAATAATGCAAAAAAACTAAATTTATCAAAGTAACAGGCTTTATGCTTCTTATGAAAGTTCTTATGAAGTTCCAAACAATTTCATCCACTAGTTTTATTCTTGGAATGAACTATAGCAAGACTTGCATTGGCTACTCAGAAAGTTAGTAGCCGATGGTCATCAGGTTAAAGAGGTAATTATATGCAATGCCAAAAGGAAAAGCAAGGTAAAGGCAGACCCAATCCCAATGGACAAAATGAAGAAAACATCTGAAGGATGAGACAAATGGAATGTGTAAAAAAGAGAGTCCAAAGCATCAACCTTGGTCATCCACAGTCTGGATGGAAAGAAACACTGAAAAGAAAACCCTCCATACAGAACCAAGGGGTGATTAGAAATTGGTTGAGAGATGACAGGTCAATAACTGGTGCCAGTTCCTAGTCCTCTTGGGAACCACAAAGATATGTAAGGGATAACCAGATGTATGGATTAACTCTCTCAACACAGACTCGGTCAATTTGACTGACCAGGTGACCTCTTTGTACTCATTTAAAGTCTTTATAGATTTAATACTTCTAACTTTCAATATATTGTGTATATCTTCAAATATTTGGCAGTCTTTCAGTTAACATTATGAGTCTTTCACATACAAAAAATATTATTTTTTTAGTGAAGTGACTTTAATAAACTAAAGAAAGATTTGTACTTGAATATATTGAGTATTTGTTTTGAATATTCCTTGTGCCAAATGATTTTCATGTTAAGATTAAAAATACTTTTCTTCATCTCAAAAATCTCATATTTCATTTGTGTAATCTCTAATACCTCCTAATTATATTTCAAGTGTTTGTTTTCAGTAAAACTTTATATTTTATCTGTTATTTTCTCTTCCCTAACTCTATATAAGATTGGTCAATTTGACTGACCTCATATCTCCCACCAAATCTAAGTTACCCTCTTTTTCCTTCTAGAATTACTTCAACTGTAGCATGAAACTACATTTGTTTATCCTAAGCAGCTTTAAACTCATAACAGTATACATCTATTCAATTTTAATTAAATTTTATTGTTTTATTGCCCTTTGAACCGTATCTAATACTATTCACAACATTATATATTATAAATCACTTGGGGAACGTGGAGCTCATGTTATGCTATCAAATTACATTACCCATGAGCTACTCCTAGCTGCTTGCATGCATGCTTCATGAAATATTTATGTTATATTATCATTATTGTTTATTTTACCTAATTTAACCTTAACTAACCTAAAGAGATCCTTATTTTTACATGAACATGAATCCAATTGAGTGAGGGAACAATACATGTGTGAGGACTTTTTGTTCCAGCTCTGAATCCAAAACCCAACCACTGAGAACTGACATCCATGTAGGGGTGGGATGAGGAATCAAAATCAAAGGGGGTGAACTGCAATTTGGATGGCTCACTCTAAAGTTACAACATCCCCTTGGATAGACCCGTTCAGAGATGGAGTGTCAGATTGAAGGACATCTCATGATCTACACCAACAGAACACAATCCCCCTACTCTCAGTTGAATGGATTTATTATTGGAAGATAGCACTGCCAATTGAGAAGTGATAGTTTGGTAGAATTGAATAGAAGGAGTCACATGTATTAGGAGAGTGTCGCACTCCTAATGGTGGAGGGTTGTCGCATGATGACTTATATGCGAGTCTCCTCGCCTTAAAAGAGAGCCCAGAATATGCAATATGATAACTTTTCTACCCACCTTAATGTAAACAAGGGATAAATCCTGAGAAACTGAATCATCCCAATGAATAAAGACATTGTCTAACATCTCTAAATGCAATAGTGCAGGTAACAAAACCTTCAAGACCCTTACTGGACATAAATGATATAGATCTGATCAGCCTTAGAAGTGAGAAATAGTTATCAGATGAATTGGTGAAAAGGATTTATCCACTTCCCTGGGTGCCAGTGTTTTGGGGAAGAAGAACCAGTCTGATGACATAGGAAGAATGATAAAGCATCCTGTGCACAATCAGCCCAAACCACTCCAATTTGTAATGTCTGTAAGTCAGCAGCAATGAAAAACAAACCTTCAGGGAAAAATGATACATGGCACATGAGGCTAAGGTATAAAATGAGTGTTGAGAAAGGACATGTAATGTAACCTTAATATACCAGTTAGGTAACTAAAATGATTGTTTGGTACGAAGGACTCAAAACAAGGTGAGGAAACTGGAGAGTACTGGAGACTCTAAGAATTTTTGTCTTCATTATCAAAAGGTAGTCAATAAAGCCGCCTGATATAGGGCAATTGTGGAAGATGCAAAACCCTTGTTAAAGAGCAAGATCCAAAAACGAGTTATAGTTAGAACTTCTGATCAAAGTGGGTTCAACCTCCTCTCAATACACCATTACTGATATGTGTACCATTTCTGTTGATAAATGTCCATCTTGGGACTAAGCAAAGGCTGAGACAGATACAGGGCAATCTTAAAAACTAAATCCCAATGCCATGCGATAGACTGCATAACCTCCATGCCTGAAGTTTGAGCTTCTTGATAGCTAGGTATCATGGCTGCCTCCACACAGATGGCCAAAGAGAAAGTGGAAGAAGCAAGCACCCCTGAAGGTATTGCAGGTTTAGCTGCCAATCCAGTGCTATAAACAGGAACCAACAATGGGCTGGAACAAATCACAGCAAGTACCTTGGGTAACATACAAATCAGTTTGAAGGCCTAGAGTTGTAATCCCGTCCCATTCTGATGGAACGCATATATTGCCAAAGCCTGAAGGTGAGATACCTGAGACCAAAGTGCCAGTTAAGCATATATTTCTATCAAATATAGTTTCCATACTTTTGGTGCAAAAAAAAAGGAAGAAATTCAATCAAAATTGGAGATTTTATATCTCGTACATTTCTTAATGGATTGCCTTAAAATTTAGTACATGAAGTAAGGGTCCAGCAGAGCAAATCCACTGAAAATATGTGATAGTTTGGATTACCACAGTCTCAGCTACAGAAATTGGAAAATCTCTTAAACTACCATTCTTGTTAATAACACACTGTATCATGCAGGTTGTTTTGGCCATATGATACACAACTGTATGTCTTGATGAAGTGTTTTTTTTCCCCATGTAGTGTGAAATCTCAATTTTTACCCCTAATCTTCCTAATACTTATCATATATTTATAAGTTTCCATGTTACCTTTTTAATTATATCTGTTTTACATTTCTTTTTTTAATCAATCTTCACATCTCACCTTTATTTTACTTTATCAATTCTCTGTGTAGTTTTGTTGACCATTTTTTTTAAATAATACAACTCTAACTTTTTTATAACTAACATTCTTGTTTCTGTTAGTATTATACCAGAAATGAAAAACATGTAGTACACCCCAGTACTTCAACTAATAAACTAATTGAAATTACAATTAAATCAATTAAGCAAGATTAGTGTTTTCAATTATTCCAACAATCAATCAACCAAAGTTTCAATTATATTGATTGTCATGAAAATAATCAACTAATCAAAATTAGTGTTTGTGGATATTACTGTTCTCAATTATTCCAACAATCAATTAATCAAAATTAGATTAAATAAATTGCCATGAAAATAATCAACTAATCAAAGTTAGGTTTCTGTTTATTACTATTTTTAATTATTCCAACTTTACAACTAATCAAAATACTTCCACCAAACTTGTTTACCCTGTCTTTATTATATCAAAGCTATTAAAGCCAACTGCCACTTTCAGTAATTTTGAAGTGCTGACTAGAGGATGCAACTGACTGATAACACCCACTACCAAACTTTTCTTTGTTGCTGTTTTGAGCTTCTGACTAAAGAGAGGGCAAATTTCTAGCAGAATCCACCACCATCATTTTTTGTTAACTGAGTGCTGACTAGATGGAAGGCAACTGGCTGGCAGCACCCTCTGACAACCTTTTTTTTTGGTTGTTTGTTGTTGATATTGAACTGTTTTTTGTTTTGCTTTAGGTACTCTAGTTTGAAGAAAACACTAATCGATTAATATGGTCGTCGATTAATCAAATAGCAAATACTATTAATTGCCCAGCTCTAGCTACTATCATCCTAACATTTTGCTGACACTTACTGTATTTAACAAATACTTTGTTGTTAATTTTTACATCCTCAGTCAACCTATCTCTCCATATTCCCTTTTTCGATTTCCTTGTATCCTGTTCGAGTAGCTTTCTTGATCTTCTATAATCCTGCAAGTTTCCTATCACGGCAGTCAATTTGAACTTCTTAAATATTTAACCTTTCTTTAATTTTATCCCTTATACTCTTATTGAGTCAAGCTGTTCTTTTACTTGCAGCCACCCCCTTTGTTTTTCTATGAGAAACAAGTCTATCTTGAATAGAGCTGGGCAATCAACTCGATTAATCACTTACCTACAAGCATCGATTAGTTTCTTTTAAACTAAGCTATTAAAGTAAATTATAATTAAATTGATTAATGACAGAAAAATAATCAACTAGTGTTTCCAATAAATATTACTTTGAATTATTCAAACAATCCAGTTATCAAAATTTGGATTTATATCTAGTACTTTAAATATTGCTATTACATTTATTTGTTTGTTAAGCACAATACTATATAATGGATTATCTATGCTGTGACCACTAAGGGTCTCAAAACTTGATACTTAGTATCATGAATTGTTTTTTTAGGAGTTTTTAGCCATCTTGTGAGAATAGCCAATTATTTGAATTATTTGATTAATGAACCTGATAATAAAATGATTAGCAAATTCCATTAATTGCCCAGCCTCTAATCCTAAAAAAGGCCAAGGTTAAAACACTGCAGCATGGTGTTTTTAAGTACACGCAAGTTTAAGGTAAGGAAAATGTTAAAATCAGAATTGGGTCTTTAAAAGATGTTGATGGAAAGGTTTTTTCTGAAGGCTATGAGATGACTTAGCTTCTAAATATTTTTTTCTCTTCTATTTTTAGAAGAGAAAATAGCATTCTATGAGTATTCTATGGGAAGTTATATCTTAATCATGTACATAGTAATACCTTGGTGGTAAACAGAAAGATTAAAAATAAGTAAGCAACAGATCAAGAAGAGGTTTCCCTTGGGTTTTAAGGAAGATCAAAGATCAGATATACGAGTTTCTCCTTTTTAATATTTGGAAAGCAATATACAGTGGGCAGGTGCCTGAGGATTTGAGAGTAGCGAATGTTACAATCATTTCTAAAGAGTTGCTACAGAAATTATAGGCCAATTAGTCTTACTTCTGTTGTGAAAAAATGCTAAACAGTCCAATAAAATAAGCTTTAAACATAGCCATTTAGTACAATATCATATCACGAAAAAAGGCCAACATGGTTTCACCAAAGGGAAAAATTTATTTTATTAATATGTTAACTTTTTCAGAAATGTTAAACACCATATCATCATATTTATTCTACCAACTTTTTTGTCACCTATTGTTTTATTCAATCAAGTTTTATAACATACTGCTAATCCAAACCTATTAAAATATAATTTTGTTTTTATACTCTGTATATAAAACTTAAATTTAAAAGTATAACATACAAGTCAATTGTTCATTTCACTTGAAAAAAATATTTTCATCCACTACAAAAAAAAAAAAAAAAAAGTTGACCAAACTTTCGAATAGTCCGAATGAATTTAAAAATACATTTAAATATAAAAAGCCTTACCCTTCGGAACTTATGATAGGTTTTCCTTCAGAACTATGTGTACAAATAAGAACGGGCTTAGATTCGTCATATTCAAATTTAGAATTTTCTTCTGTCAGTCCTGACTGCAAGTTTACAGATCCTTCCCCAGTAAAGTTTGTCAAAATCGCTTTGTTTTTTTTTGTAAATCTGAAACTAAACATAGGACGCTTAGTACCGATTTCACAATCATTATTTTTTGAAATATCCATACTTGTAAACTAATTTTCTAAAACTTGGTGGGTAATGATAAAAGTGTTAACAATATTTTTCCTGAATGCAGCGTTACTTATTACGCTACCTAGTGATAGAGTATGGGAACTAAATAAATTTCAATAATATATATATCAGGTAGCATGGGTTATGTTTGACCATGTTGGCCCTTCCTGGTATTGACAGCAATAGATCTCGTTTACCGTTTTACAAAAAACCTAGACCGATTTATAAAGATTTTGTTCTAAAAATAATTTTATAAAATATTTTATGTGTAATACTATAAACTGATTTTAACAAATAAATCAAAACCTTTAAATCATAAGTTTTTGTAAAAAGCGTTATATCATACTCAATTTAGCGTGCAAGTATTACTAACAGACAACCATTTTTTGATAGTTTGCCTTGTTTGAATCTCAATTTTTGACATTCACATTTAATTCAAATACAAAATTTTAGTTTTTGCTAGACGCCTTATATTACGTTTCATAACCCTGCACTATAATGTAATACTTACGTAATTATATTCATATATTCCTCAAATACTATTTAATATAATTTGTATTTGGAATATATCGTAGTTGTATCAATACTTCTTTCAAATATACAATTTTCGAGAATGCAAAAACCGAGATAACACTGAACACTGCTATAAGTATCACTATATGCCATACTGTGGCATTTGCAGATGAACTTATTTCTCAAAAACATAAATTAGATAGGCCTGCTGCATAACTGGAGGCTCAGTAAGATAAATTGCTGAGCAAACGAACATTGAGTTCTGTTAAAACTAATTGACTCTGTGCTAAGAAATGAAAGGATTGGATATAAAATGTGATGCATAATGAAAAAAATCTTTATTTGAACAAAAACAATGGAATGTAGTTGCGTTGAGCAATGGACAGCCATCTTTACTGTTGTTACGTCTCCGTTTGTTAATTAACTTTTCGTAACTTCGTTCCGACGAAACTTTAGCGACACAAGTCCTTACTTAATAAAACTGGTTTATTCTTTCCGAATACAACTTTACGATACACTTATTTTCAACAGTCGCTCTATAACAAACGCTATATCAACGAACGTCAACAATACTTCTGACTGAAGTTCAATTACTCACTATCTACACACACAGTATTGTCACG